TTCAATACTGACCATGTATAAAGTGACTTTAAATATTCAAAACAATTCTGATCTTATATGTAGCAGTGTTTATCACATAAGCAAATGATTTGTGTCATGTTATAACACATAAGATATATAAATGAGTAATTTATCCTTCATTCCTCCAAAAATGACTTTGTATTTCATTAATGAAAACAGAACAATGAGTTGTCTGTGGAACTGAGTATCAAACCCAAGGCCTCACACATGTGAAGCAAGCTACATCCCCAGCCCAAAATGCTAGAGTTTGAATGATGCTGTTGGAGTAACAGTGTAGTTCCAGGCCAGCCTTCCACTGTACTCTGACCAAAATTCCTATTTAACTGCTACACACACTGATGTTTCATGGATTTACATCCAGAAAAGAAGTTCTCAGAAACCATATAACTTCCACCCTTTTAGAGTTGCTGTACAGTATATTGTACTCTTTGAGATGCAGAAAGAAATTTCAATTCAGACTTCACTAACATAGGAGCAAGAACAGTTAAACAGCATCTACTGTTCTTTGTCCATTAAGAAAGATTGCTCAGCCAGGTTGGTGACACACACTTAAAATCCCAGTGGCTTGTAAACATGAAGTAGGAGGATTGCAAGTTCAAACCCAGCCTTAGCAATTTAGTGAGGCTTTAAGCAACTTAACAGAACTCTGTCTCAAGAAAAAAGAAAAAAAAATAGTTGGGGATGTGGCTCAGTGATTGAGCACCCTGAGCTCAATTCGTGGTAAAAAAAAAAAAAAAAAGAAAACATAAAAACAGAATAAGCTGCACTGTATAAAATAAATTTTAATTACTTTATCTAAGAGCTAATAAAGGTACCTCTGAAAATCCATGCTAGTCTCTGGAAAGTCATAGCAAAAAAAATAACCAAACCCTAGAGAGGCTTCTATTAGTGAATGAAGTCAAGTGAATTGTCACAGAAACATAACATCTTGACAGGCACATCCCAAACTAAGCGGGTCTAAAAGTGAACTCTGTTTACTTCCTGCATTCTAGTCTACTCACTTGTGAACCTTGTTCTTGCACAGAAATGCTGTCATCATGGTCTACCCAGGCCACAAACTTCTGAGGCATTCCTAACCTTCCCCTTCAGATCTTAACATCTGCCCAAGCCAACTTGAATAACCAAAGAGGAACAGATGGCTCTGCTCCAGAATCCTTCCCCGCTTTGGGGAATGCTAGTGATGAGGGTGCAGAGCTCCCAGCAAAACTTCTGCCTGAGCAGGGTCACAAAACCCAAGGCTAAGAGTGCTCTTGGGGGCTGGGGTCGTGGCTCAGTGGTAAGCAATGGCCTAGCATGTGTGAGGCACCAGGTTTGATTCTCAGTACCACATAAATATAAACAAAATAAAGTTCATCAACAACTAAAAAAATATATAAATTAAAAAAGAGTGCTCTTGGGATTTTAAAAAGCACAGGTGGAAGGAGACCCTCTTTTCTCCCTCTTGTGTGAGGGCCTGAGTATGGCCCCTGCTCTGTCCCTTAGCCCCTAAGGGCCTAAAATAATGCTGGCTTCTGTGGAATTTCATTCCTTTGAAACTTTCTTCAGAAGTCTTCTTTCTTCAATAATCCTCCTTTTAACTTATGATGGTTGATTGCAGCCAAGCATTCTGACTTGCACCTTCTAAACATTTCCAATCTGTGTGTCCACATCTATCAGCAGTGCCCTAGCTCAGGTCCTCATTGGCTCTCATCTGGACTAGTCCCACAGCCCCACAAGTCTCCTGTCTCTAGTCCACACAAACAGCTTCTGTGGAACAGATAACAGGAGGGACCATGTTCCCCACACACAACCAAACTCATCAATGGCTTTCCATTATTAAAGAAAGATCTAAATTCCTTAACAGGTCTCACCCAAATATCTATATACAATCTTCCCTCCAGTCAAACAGCTGTTCCTCCTTGACTCACATTTTAGCTCTGACTACCCAAAATTGCTTGGGTTTGGTCTGGAGCTCAGATACACACACACACACACCACACTGAATTAATTAGTAAGTAAGAAGTTCCCATTCTTGAAAACCTGAAGAAATCAAAGAAATGTGGCTTTCTTCTGGCTTGCTTCTAGGTATCAAAGTCATCACATTGATGTCTACAATTCATTACATCAATATCCCTAAATATTGCTGTTACAAATAACTGGTGCCAATGTACATAACACACAGCAGCAGCAAATGTCTAAAAGGAAGAATCATAGGCTATAAGAAAAGATTCTGATCACCAATGAATCTCTGCAGACAGAGCACCAGCACCGACTCCCTGAGAGGCTTTCTCACCCAGACAGTGCCCCTCTTTCTCCACTGGTGCCACTACCCTCTGTAGAAATCTGTAGCGTGGCACATGACCTCTGGTTCCTTAAGGACAGGACCATGTTCCAAGCATCCCTGGATCTCCAAGCCCAGTCAAGTCCTCAGAATACATTAGACACCTGTAAATATTTACAGAATAATGTGTGCATTCTGAGCTAAGCAGATTTTTAAAAAGTGCACTGGATATCAAGTTAGAAAACTTGGGCTTCTTTCATTAAATGTGATGAAAATATTTGAAAACAAAAAATATTTTTAATATCTGTAACCCATTGTGTAGTTAACTAAATAATCATTGTTTGTGTAGGAATAAAATTAATGGAAGATGTTGAGAAATAAGGTCTGTTTTTTTTTTTTAACTTATGGAAAAATTTCAGAGAAAACTGCATAAGCAGTCAAAAAACTGGTAAATTGGACTTGAACAAAAAACCTATTGGCCTTATAAGAATGAAAAGACTATAGAATAAGAAAAAAAATATATACTTCATATATCTGATAAGTGAACATTTGCATATATCCAGAATACAGAAGAACTATTAAAACTAAACAAGAAAAGGACAGCTCAGTTTTTAAAATGGGTAAAGAATCTGAACAGGAATTTGCCTAACAAAGATAAACAATGGCTAACAAGTACACAAAGTTATTGAATATCATTATTTATCAGGGAAATGCAAATAAAAACCACAATGCAATGCCACTTCATACCCATTAGGATGACTAATATGGAAAAACACCATGTCACAATGTTGGCAAAGATATGGAGAAATGAAATCTTCAAACATTGCTGATGGGAATATAAAGTGGTTGAGTCACCTTATAAAACAGTCTGGCAGAGTTACTTATGGCCCATAAATTTCAATCCTAAGTATCTACCCAAAAGAAAACAGAAGTCAACTCAAAAACACAAATATTCACAGCAGCATGATCATAAGAACCACAAAGTGAATGTCACCCAAATATCCATCAACTGATAAATGGATAAACAAACTACAGTGTATCTATATAACAGAACACTATGTAGCAATAAAAGGAATGAAGTTCTAATATGTGCTACCTAAAAAACAGGATAAAAAAAAACAAATACAAAGGGCCATATATTGAATGATTACATTTATATATCATGTCCAGAACAAGTAAATCCACAAAGAGAGAAAGAAGATTCATGCCTACATGGAGCAAGATTGAGTGGAGACTGACTGCTAAAGGGCATGGGTCTTCTTTGGGTATGACAAATGTCTTTCCATATTAGATAGCTGGATAGGCACACAACTGTGTGAATATACTAAAACTCAGTGAATTGCACTTTTAATGAGTGACCTTGATGGTAATGTGAATTATATATCAATAAAGCTGTTATTTTTGAAAATGGCTGCCCAAATCATATACTAACACCTCTGCACAAGGGTCTGGTTGAATCACTCTGCCTGTGACAGAATAAGCTGTCAGAAAAACACACAATCTGTTAAAATGGGAAAATAATCTATGTTCCTACCAATAAATCTCTATTTCAACCAACCATAAAACCAGATCCAAAGTAGACAGAGCAAAGAACAAAAAAAGCATGCAATTCAACAATTAGCTGGAAGGTTACAGAATGAAACTAACCAAAGATTGTCTACCCCTCTTTCCAAACAAATGATCACTTACTCTGCCAGTCTAAATTAAACTTTATGCCTAATATAGAAAGAAACTGTTTCAAATACAGAAAATCCCACCCATTTAATATGTAATAAAGTCTTTGGGGGGGGTAGTTGTTGATGGACATAATTGCTTTATTTATTTATTTGTCTGTCTGTTTGTTTGTTTGTTTATTTATTGTGGTGGTGATGATCAAACCCAGTGCCTCACACATGCCAGGCAGGTGCTCTACACTGACCCATAATCCCAGCCCTGTAATAAAGTCTTAATATTTATTTAAATGTAGTATAAAAATTTTAACAAATGCAGCTAACAGGAGAAATAAAGAAAAAGGTCTTCATTTTTATTACAAATTCTGTTTAATCCCTCACTTTCCAGGAATATTTTTAGTAGGTTTTAGGGCACAAAATTAAAGAAATTAACTCATAAGTAAAATGAAAGGCACTGTATAAACAAATCCCTGTACTTTCACAGAAAAGTTTCAAAAACCGAAAACTTCAATATTTTAGAAAACAAATAAGATTACATCATTAGCCACAATAAGATACCAGAAGGAAAAGTCCAGGAAAACCTCATTAATTTGGCCCAATAATGAAGACTCAGTAATTTCAAGTCTGCCTTGATTTAATTTCAGACTATGTATTAAGAAATATTTGCTAGGGGCTGAGGTTATGGCTAAGCAGTAGAGTGCTTGCCTCGCACATCAGGGCCCTGGGTTAAATACTCAGCACCACATATAAATCATACAACTAAAAAATAAATATTAAAAAAGAAACAATTGTTAGGCAAAATAAAGTGCAAATAAAACTGTATAGAGTATTATTTAATTGATTTTAAAAATTTCACATGCAAATGACTTCTGCAAAAATAATAATTAAAACAAGTTACATGTATTCTTTAGAATCCTGTACTCTAATAGAAATATTAGAATAAAGTATATAAAATAGAGACTAAAATACTTCTTAAATCTATTAAATCTTTAATTGTTCCATTTCTATTTACTTTGGCTGTGAAAAACTGGTTTAGGAGTCAGAAAAGCTTCACAGGCAAGACTCAGACAAAAATTTATTAATTCTACTCAAAGTCTGGCAATCTAATTTTCTGCTTTTATTTTAAAAAATGTGAACCATACAACTATATTTACTTTATTTTGGGGGGCATTTACTTTATCATTATTTTTAAACAACATATTTTATAAAATATTGCCATGTCTATACTGAGAAACATAAACAGATCTTAAACAGGAACCAGCAGCATACTCAGTTTAAATACTTACTCTGCCCTTTAAAAAAAGATTTAAAATACAGGACACATGTGATTATAAAAATTAAATAAAATATAGTCCACATCAAAATTTGAAATAAAGTAACCATTGAATGTTATGGCAGCAAGTGCCATACAGTTATGCACATCGAAATTTAAAAGAAACCATGTTAGTCTTCTCTAAATTAAAATGTATACTATTCTCTTTTGCATCTTTAAATAATAATGATAATATGCATCAACCTTTGGGAGGTTGAGGCTGAGGCAGAAGGATCCTACATTCAAGGCCAGTCTTAGGAACTTAGTGAGGCCCTAAGCAACTTAGCAAGATCCTGTCTAAAAATTTTTAAAAAATAAACAAAAGGGCTGGGGATGTGTTTCAGTGGTAAAGTGCCTCTAGATTCAATTCCCAGTACCAAAAAATTAAACAAAGAAGTAAATAATGATTTTGATGTCTGTGGATGCCTAGCATTTAGGTAGGTATTCAGTGCTGAATGAAAACTGGTGAATAAATCGCCAGTTGGTCCATATTGTCCCAGCCTTGGGTTATTCAGTAAACAATGTTAACTGAAGTGAAAAGAAAAGCACTCTCAGGAAAGGCAATCTAGATGTACTTTATATATAGAAGACAGTTCAAAGAATAAACAGTCGGTCAATGATAAAGTTGTGAATCTGCTTCATGTGAGGCCATCTTTATATGTAACTCTTATTTGATTGAAATAAAATCTAAAGCAAACATAAAATTAAAAATCATATTTCATCAGGAAGTGATAAAATCTTTGGACAGAAGAGATACACATAGTTTTAGACATGATTGGACAATCATATTGTTTACATAACTCATAAAAACTATATTATCACCCAATTATGGAAATAATATTCTTTATGCTATTCAGCCATTGGTATCCATGTTTGGAAATTGTTAAGAAATTTATTTTGAAAGTTACTTTAGGCTTTCCTTCAGGTGAATAAAACACAAAAGTACTACTCTTTGCAGAAGAAAACATTCTGTGTTCAAAACAATTATAGCTGGTTGATCAAGTTTTCAAATATTGCTTTTAATATTTGCTTTTTAGTTTTTTGTTTTTTTTTTTTCACGGTGGACACAATCCTTGTATTTTATTTTTATGTGGTGCTGAGGATTGAACCCAGTGCCTCATACAGTCCAGGCTAGTGTACTACCACTTAAGCCACATCCCCAACCCTCAAGTTTTCAAATATTAACAATGAGTTAAAATCAAGGCAAAAGACCTAAAAAATACTCAATATATTTAAATATTTTCATCACATTAAATGCCTAAGAATATCTGACATGTAAGAATCACTAGTATGTTCTTAAGGAAGAGAATTCTTTTGTTAATAAAAATGTTGAATGAAAGAAATCTTTGAATAACACAAGGTTTCCTTAATAGTTTACAGTGGAACACACCTATAATCCCAGAAAATCAGGAGACTGAGGCAGGAGGATCACAAGTTCAAGGATAGCCTCAGCAACTTAGCGAGGCCCTGTCTCAAAAATAAATAAATAAAAATAAATAAATAAAATAAAATGTGCTGAGGATCTAATTTACTAGTGAAGTACCCCTGGGTTCGATCCCCAGTACCAATAAAACACATGTTATCTCAAAAATGTACTTTTTTCCCTATTGAATTAGCAAAGATTAAAAAGATTAACAAAACTTGGTGTGAGCAAGGGTTTTGAAAATAGGATTCTCATGGACATTGATGGGGACAGTTTTTACAGATAACAGCTTAGCTATATTTATCAATATTTAAAATGTATATAATCTTTGACCTGGCAGTTATACCTCTAAGAAGATAAGTGAATAAGTATACTATAATCAATATACCACTATTAACAAGAAAGAAAAACAAGTAACAATCTAAATGGTTATGAAAGGAGTAGCTAGATAAAGTATGATGCCTCTAAATAATAGAAAACTAGGCAGGCAGGGCTGGGTTGTAGCTCAATGGTAGAGCACTTGCCTGGCATGTGTGAAGAACAGGGTTTGATTCTCAACACTGCATATATAAAGATCTATTGACAACTAAAAAATAATTAAAAAAAAAAAAACTAGGCAGCCAGTAAAATGATCACCCATGATTATGCACATCAGGTTCAACTCACAAATAGAGATATATATAGAACACTATAAAAATGACCACATAGCTTCATATATAGAGAGAGACTGCTGTGTATTTAAAATATTATATATACTTTCATATCCATCAATAAGTTTCCAAAAGTGAGTTAATTGTGGCCATTTCTTTGTGCAGGAGTTGAGGGTTTACTTTTGTCATTATGTTGTTTTATATGGGTAAAAATTTTTCTAAGTATTATAATAAAAAATCACAACAAACTTTTAAGAGAAAGAAGTTCCTCTATATCACCAAAATTACTTCAAATCGTTTCATCTTCCTATTTAAGAGGAAAGAATTCATTGAATGTTGCAAGTAAATGTAATACAGAATCTCCTTCTCAGAACCACATTTTAAAATGACAAAATAATAGAAATTAAAATATTAGAGTCATAGAGATAGGGAAAGACAAACATCATTATTCAAACAGCCCACATTATTGGCATTCACCTTACTACCCAGAGGTTGTATGAACTCAAACACTCCTAAAACAATATCACTTTTACACATTAAGGAAGCAGACTATAATAATAATAATAATGATAATAATAATAATAATAATAATAATAATAATAATTAAAGAATTTTTAAAATGTAAAATCATAAAACACTTACCACAGTAAAAATATTTAATTATTTTCCTGTCTTACATTCTTTCATAGCACCTTTATTAAGAACCTGAAAAAAAAAGTTTGGAGAAGTTAAATAGATTTTAAATGTATACATTTAATCTGATGTTTATTTCCTTTAGATTTTTGTTTTCCTGGAACTAGAGAAAACAGTTCAAAAGTACTCATGGGAAAATAAGCAAGCAAGAATTCCCAGGAATATGAAAAGCAAAAAGGGGAAACTAGTTTTAAAAGATATTAAAACTTTTATAAAATCAATAATGTGATACTGGTATATGAAGAAAAAGACTAATAGAATACAAACCCCAGAGACACCCCAATACCTCCAAAATTTAACAACACCATAAGAGATTCAAAGAAGGGCTCTAAAAGCAACAGGTGAAAATAACAGGCACACAGAAAAAGATAAAGTTGAACCTATGCATCATTCTGAACACCAGAATAAATCCTAATTTGAACATTTAAATGTAAATGTGATACCATAAAAGTACTAAAAGAAACCATGGGCAAATTCTAAAAATCTTGGAGGCCTTTCAGTGACTTAAACTCCAGATACCTGGGCTGGGGCTTTAGCTCAGTGGTAGAGTGCTTGCCTAGCACTTGTGAGGCATTGGGTTTGATCCTCAGCACCACATAGAAATAAAGAAATATTTTAAAAAAATATCAAGATACCATAATGATTAATATAAACTGTAAAATTTTTAAAAAATGTAAGACTTTTGTATATCAAAATATGTGAAGGTAAATAAAAATAAGTGAAAATCTGGGGAAAACTAGAATTGATATCACACAGGGCTAATCTCTCCAATTTACAAATTTCTAGAAATTGATAATGGGAAAAAAGCAACCCAAAACAGAAATGTGAAAAAAAAAACACTTACAGAGAGTTCACAAGAAAAAAAATACAATTCGTTTTTAAGCATAATATGCAGAGCCTTATTAAAAATGATAGAAATCCACATTAAATTACTCTATATTGATAATTCTCATCTATCAAACTGTTAACAAATTCAAGGGTTGTACACAGTACATTGGAAAGGCCCCAGAAAAAATAGGAACTCTCTCATACACTGAGATCTGCCCTCTTGTATCTGTGGTATTCAGACTGAATTCAACAATCATAGGTGAAAATATTTTTTAAAAATATTGTCATACTGAACACATACCAACTTTTTTGTTGTCACTAGTCCCTAAACAATACAGTGTAACAACTATTTATATGGCATTTATATTGTATTAGTCTTCTAAGAAATCTAAAGATGATTTAAAAGTATGTGGAGAAAGTGCATAGGTTATATGCAAATACTATGCTTTTTATATAAAAGACTTAAGCATCCTTGTATTTCAGCATCCACAAAGGGGTCCTCAAATCAATCCTCTATGAATAATGAGGAGCAACTGTACTTGTGGGAGTTTAAAATGGTGCAACACCTAAGAAAGGAAGCATTTAACTAAATTATAAATGCAATGCCCACTGGCACGGTGATCCCACTTCTAGGACTGTATCCCACAGATGTACTTGCACATGTATAAAATGATATGTATACAAGCTGGTTCACCATAGTATGGTCTGTGATAAACCTAAAAACAACCCAAACACTACGGGGGGGGGGGGGCTGGATAAGTAAACAAGGCACTTAATAGACACTGTTTAAACACAGCTGTTTTTTTTAAGTGTTTTCTATAAACAAATATTATATTCATTCTAAATAAATACTAATAGGAAAAAATCTAAAGAGCATATAAAGAAAAAACCATAGGATAGAAGTACTTACATAGTATACCACATTTTATATAAAAAGAATATAGTACACTGGCATTTCTCCTACTATAAAAGGAAACAATTGACATCTATGGGAAATAAATTAAAGGTAGTTATCTAAAAAAGAGGGGTGAAGGGGGGGCAAAGCAGTTGGAAATCACATTTTCCCAAGCATGCCTGTGTCATTTTAACTTTTGAACCATAAGAACATGTTATCTACATTAAAAGAATTTTTAAACATTAAAAAGAATACTTACAGAAAGAAGAGAAACAGACACCCATAGATAAGATTTAAAACTAAGGTTTAAAGAGATTTTTTGCTCTGAAATTAGATGCTGAAAAGCAATCTTGGTGTGGTCATTACAAAAAAATGCTTTTTTCCCCTTCAATCAAGTTAAAGAATATGAAAATCTGTTTTTAAAAAGCTATTTAAATGAGTAAGAAATTTGGAAAGGGGAGAAAAATGTACAATGAGGACACTCTAATATAATGGTTCTCCAAGTATGGCCCCTGTACCGGCAGCATCAGCAGCATGTGATAACTTGTTAAAATTAAAATTCTCAGGCTCCCACCCAGACTACTGAATCAGAAACTTTGTACTAGTCCAGCAATCCTGGTAACACCCTCAAGTCTGAGAGTCACATATCTTGTCTGGTTCTTCCCACAGGTTCAGTCTGCATTTCAAACAAGCTCCAGGACATAGGACCATACTTGGATAAGCAAAGCTGAAGTCCTCCTGGGGGAAAAAGGTATGTAACCTTCATATGGTTGAGTTTCCCATGAAACCTGTCCTCAGTATCAGATGGAAAAAGTCCTTATACAGGCTTCCTAGCCAAGAGATATCATGGATCTAATTTCCTACATAAACTGTGTACACAGAGAATAAATGTTTTCAAATACATTCTTATAAAAACAATAACAACTATGAATCATTGAAATTCAACTTAAGGATGTCTCACTTGAAAAAAATTATAAGTGGACCTACAAACTTTCAGAAATTGGGCTAAGAAACAAAAATAATCCATACTCCATAAATTCTGCCTGTGTTGTGTGAACAACTTAACCTCAAATGCATTAACTGCCCACCATGTGCTTTCATGGAAAAGCACCAAGAAGTTTGTTTCCCTCAAACCCTTTTCAAAAAATTGTCCTCATGTTGATGAACACTGGTCTTCCATTTGTTTTACACAAGGAGAAAGATCTGTACAGGAATCTTCTGAATAAAAAATTGTAGCTTAGCAGAGCGCAGCGCCCATGTCCAGAAGGCGGGCAGCTTTGGAGCAGTGGCGCCACAGCAGCCGCGAGATTCGGACCGAGCTTGAGCCCTCCCTGAGCCCCAGAGCTGCCCCAGACAACCACCCCGGCTCCCCGATGGCGCTCGTCCATCTGTCCCCAGCCCTGCTGCCCAGCCCCAGGACCCGCGCCTTGAGCGCCCCCCCCCACCTTCCTCTTCCTGGCACTGCCTGCCACCAACCCGCTGGCCACCACGTTGGTGGAGCTGGAGGAGGCCCTGCAGGTCCTGGGCGCCAAGGGGGCCATGGGGAGGGCGGCGACGTGAGGGGGGCAGCGACAAGGGCCGTGGTGGCCCCAAACATAAAAGCAGCGGCAAGAAGAACCAGCCGGTCAAGTACAGCCAGCTAGTGGTGGAGACGTCCGCAGGCTTAGCAAGCAGAAGCTTGTCGCTGGTGGGCATCTATGCAGAGGCCAGGAAGGTGGAGGGGTTCAACCAGCAGAACAGCTGCACCTACCTCAAGTACTTGGTGCACGCTGGTGCAGAATGACTTGCTACTGCAGGTCAAGGGCACAAGCGCCACCGAAGCCGGCAGCATGGGCGCCACTCGGACCCCTGACCCAACAAGGGCGCCGCAGCTGACAAGCTCCAGCCCTCGAAGGCCGCTGCCACCGAGGAAAAGAGAAGTAGCAGTTACCCAACTTGTTCCCGCCAGTGAATGTGCTAATCATGTTTTAGAGTTTTTATTTGATTTTCCTGAGGTGTGTGATGATTTCCTAAGAGAATCTATGATGTATGTAGGAGTCCCTGCCTTCTCCAAAGAATGTATAAAACTGCTGCAAACCCCAGGCTGGGGCCTCTCAGCATCAGCAGTTGCTCTGTGTGTGTTTAGGACCCAGCTAGCTTGCAGTAAACACTTCTTTACTGCTTACATCGATCTTGGGTCTCTGGTGGTATTTTGGGGGTACCAAATTCGAGCATAACACTAGCTCCAGAGACTCTGCCCCCACCTAACACCCTTTATAACCTCTTTTCCAGATTTTACAACCTCTCTTTCACTTCCTGGAAATGAGATCTACTCTCTGGCAGGTCCACTCTTCTTGGTCTGTCTGCTCTACAGCATCCACACAAGGAAGCATCAAACCTAAACTCCCACACATCAGATGAGGAGCCACCAGCTAGATGAAGACTGGCAGATAAACTTCACTCACATTCCTAGGCACAAAATCCTTCACTACCTACTTACTTTGGTTGATACTTTTTCAGGTTGGATAGAATATATCCCTACATCCAGGGAAACTGCTAACACTGTCACCTCCAACCTCATCAAGCAGATCATTCCCCGGTTCAGACTTCCCACCTCCACACAGTCAGACAAAAGTCCAGCCCCAACTTCTCAGGAAACAAGCAGACCAGTGCCTTCCTGAAATATTCATTGCCTCAATCCCAGCACAACCACAAACTGAATTGGATCCTCTTCAACTGGGTGACTCAGTCTTACTTCAGGAACTGCAATCTCAGTCATTGCAACCTCGCTGGATGGAACCCTATACAGTCATACTTACTACCCCAATGGTGACCAAGCTTTTAGACATTCTCCCTGGTACCATGTCTCCCACCTGAAAAAGTCACCTTTTCCAAATATCCAGTCCTTGACTTCCACCACTCCCACTAAACTCAAAATTTCTCACCAATCCTGTTCTACTTTTACTAATCATTAAATTTCTTTCAAGTTTCTATCCCAACCACAGATGGTGCTTTAACATCCAAGTGACATGGCACCAGGATTACACCACCCACTCTCAGTTTATGAGTCAAGGCAATTTCCCTTTCACTGGCTGAAATTGGGATATCACCCTTAACATTACTGGATTCAACCGAGCTACCTCTAATACTTCCCAGAGTCCCTACGACAGGACAAAAGGCTGATACCAAGGATCTCCTCTGCCCAGGACTGATTTGATGCCATTGATGACTTGTGGTTTCAAGGAACTTTTATGGACTTTACCCCTGCCAAAATAACTGTTTATAGCCACTGGGTGTTATTTCTGGCTGC